GGCGGGGAGTAAATTTTTAGCGATCTTTCCAGAGCCAATATTGGCCGTTTCATGCGTTAGTTTCCCGGGAAAGGACAATCACACTTACTGATGCACTTTTCGAATATTTATTTAATACCAGGTGAACGGTAAAATACAAACACAATGAGGACACTCACACAGGAGTCAGTGTCGGCCACGGCTCACCCCTAGACACTCACATATAAATGCCACAGATGGGCTAACAGATTAGCATCGCTGTTACAGTAATTCCACACCTCTAAACGACTGCCTCTTTGACACAAGCAACACATAGAAACTGCATACGACATATGACATAAATTCTCTGCTCCGTGGGAACGACGGTTACTATCGCTTAGCAGGGGACCTTCTCTGCCCTCTTAATTATGCTACATCTACATTCAGTAGAGGTCAGTGCTGCCTGGCATGTTGCGGCACAACTTAGTACCACACTGAACTAAACTCAGCTTGGACTCATCTGTAGATTGCAAAAATCCCATTAAAAAATCCGCAATATCGTGAGGCTTGAACACATGAAGCACAAAATAGCAAGGGTCGCAGTGTGCCCCGCTTTAGAAGGAGTTCTGAGTTCGAGGCTTTCATTGCATGTGGCATCTTGATGTAATTCCATACACGTGTAAGGGTTGTTGCTGTGGGACTCGGGGCGGTGAGGGAGAGCAGTTGGACATGAAGCATGTCACAAATCAAATTTGGAGAAGTGAATTACTGTGCCCAAGACATGACTAACGGTAGCGCCCATCACCGGATCAGAACGGTCAAGCATTTTCGCAGCTGCAACATCTTTATATTCTGGGTCGATGTATTGCGATGATGTGAAGAACAAATACTTTGATGCCGTGCTATTTTTTGTACTTTGTCTTTCACTGACAGCTTTTTGCTTTTACTTCCTCCATTTGAAAACAGATGTGGACTTTGTACTGCTTACTTTGTCAAAATGGATCGCCGTAAGGTTGATAACTTGACTGCTATCTTGTGGTGCCTATAAAGCTGAATAGACAGACAGCTAGCAACAAGATTAATATGCGGCGAATGCTAGCTCTTGCGCCGGGATAAAAGACGCCAGATTGAAGCGTGACAAAATGATCCGTCCAATCTGAAAACAAAATAAAAGTGGGGTGTATTTTTTTTTTCAGTCCTCAGTAAACGTCAATCAACGTTGGCAAAGCCATGGGAGCACATTGTTTTGATTGTTCATAAGTCAAGTCGATGCAAGCTAGCTCTTGGTTTCAAAGAAAATAACAACACGTGACATGCAACATATGAGCAGCCGCGGGTACGAAATTTTTTTATTTTTTATTTTTTGATATTCAAACAACATGTTTGGCTGACACATTGGACAGTGACCTCGCAGTGATCCAGTGTGGCTCGCCGCACGCTAATTATGATCATCCTTATGATAAATAAACATGGGAAAAAATGGAAGAATTTTCAACGGGGGGTCGACACGACACCACGTTTCAATCAATCTCTCTGTTATGCTGGAAGTCGTTACGTTCATGTGGGACGTCAAACACATGGAGATAATGATACGAGGAAAAAAAAAGGTATTAAATTGAGCCTTCATCCATCACTGAGGTCAGGGGAGCTAGCCTAGCTTAGCCTCGATACTGCTAAACATATTGTTGTTTACTCTCAGAGCGCCAAATATTTGTCGTAGGTTTTTTTTTTTTTTTCAGTATTTCGGAGTAGCACAATAATGGGGCTTATTTTCTCATGTATAACATCAGCCTCCAAATTACCAGAAAACATTTCAACCAATGACATAAATAATCTGAACCACCACTCCCTCGACGGTTTCCCATCAGAGTGCAATGTTTTCTCGTGGCACTTTTCAGTGGTGGTTTCGACGTGAAATAAAAGGAAGGCCATGAAATACAACAATGAGTCGTTAAGTAACTGAAAGCACCCAATGAAAACGTTGAATAAATAGTCCGCAAATAACTATCAACACTGACAAATTATAAATAGCATCATTAAATAAATCATGAAATGACTCAAAATGCCATTAAAAAGTCAGAAGTTATGAATGAGTTGTTAGACGACTAGAAATAAAAAAGTCACAAAAATGCCGTCAAATGAAAAACATGAATTTATTTTAATCGATACATCAGTACACCACTCAGAATGCTATTAAACAAAATGTCATGGCATAACTCATTACGATTAAATAAGTGAAATGCAGCTGAAGAAAATAAAAATGACATTCTGTCATCTAAAAAATGTTTTATTGAACAAAAAACGTTATTGTTATTTGAACAAGTCATTATTTAACAGCAAATAGTATTGTATGGATAAATTCAAGTCAAATGAAATATATGAATCATTAAATAATTAAAATGCCATTGTATCTTATTAATTAGTAAAATGTCATTGTATGCATGACAACACAGTTGAATAAATAAAATACATGTCATCTATAAAATAAAAAAGAAGAAAATATATATTAAATGTAAACATTTGATTTAAAATGAATGATAAAAAGGCAGTTCATGATTTTTTTTAAAAATCATTAAGCATCCTGTATTATAAATTGGTCCTGAATTTATGATGAAAACAATCTATTTTATATATAAATATAATATTATTATTCTCTATTCGATTTTAGAATGTATTTTATTTATGTAATCATTTGATGATCAATTTGGACATTTGTACCACTTGAGTTCATTTATTTGGTATTTTATTTATTTTTCAATGCCTTTGTGTTTACTTTTGGCACAAACAACACTCTAAATTGCGCTAACATCATGAGAAGAGTATTTCACATTGTGTCCAAATGGATTTCATGTCATTAATTCAATTGTGTCATTTTGAATCGTACGAGCGATGGGAGTCTTCACCACTCCAGTAACAAATGACAAATGCTAATGCTAAGGAGACAAAGCATTTTAAAACAACCACAGTCTTTCCGGGAATTTGGCTCAAATTCAATTTAGCGCAAGTGAAAACGAATCCAGACCCGGCCACGACATAAAATTAATTTGGGAACGACAACTGCCACATGATAACAAATAAGTTTTTTTTTTTCCTTGACACCACAACAGGCTGCTTACAATCGACATTTTTGAGCTGCAAACAGTTTCTGAAAACGCAAAGTGACAATCTAACAGTGGCCCTTGTCGCTGACATTCCCACATAAGCACTAAAAACAGGCTGTGATGAAAAATGGCCGCGCGAGTGACATGTTTGCCACAACATCTCAACACACAACAATAAAACACATAACCCAGGATGTGACAATAACCTAGACACATCATGTTACCCAACAATCGGTTTGTCAGAAATGTCATAGTCAGTTTGAAGTCAACACCTGGCGCAAATGGGCTGCTTGCTAGCTTCAGGCTAAAGCTAGTTGCGCAAACGTCAATTCACGAGTTATGTTGTGAACATGCA